GAGGTGGTGCTGATGTGCTGGGAACCGAACAGCAGCACATCAACCGGGCAGTACCCAGTCTGTGAAGCCCAGCAGAGCCAGCTCTCCCCAGGCCCAGCCTTGCCCTGCTGGCCTGGGAACTGGCTGCTGAGAAGGCCAGCATGCACTCCTGGCCCAGCTGGGGTCCCAGGGGGGTGGAAAAGAATGCAGCCGCCTGGTGGCCCCCAGAGCCCTGGGGAGACAGTCTGTCCTAAAAAGGCAGGGAGGTTGGCCCCACTGCCTGGGAAGGCTTCTGGGAATGTCAGGGCCAGGGCATGGTTCCTCTCAGCCCAGGGTACTCTCAGGACAAGGCAAAGGCCAAGGGCAGGTCCTAGCAGAGTCGTCAGGAACTAGTGTGATGCCCCCTACACAGTGAACCCTGGGCTGGGAGGCAGGGAGTCACAGGGACTCCTACCCTCACTCTACCCCTGGAAGCCTGTGTTTCCCCCCATACCGCAGGGCTGAGCAGGCAAAGAGGAGGGTCCACACCCTGGCAACCAAAACAGGAGGATGGGGTAGCTTATTACTTGCTCTGGCTACAGTGCAGCCTGGCCCCTTGTGGTGCCCAACATACATTGACCAAATGAACAACACTGTGGTAGCCGGGACTCAACAGCCACTTACTAAGCACCTACGATGTGCCCAGCTACATGATCGATATTCTTACCAAAGTAGACACATCATCTCATGGTGCAAAGGCAGCAGCCCTAGGGGAGAGGGAGAGCAGGAACTCCAACTCAGCTGTGCTGAGCCCCGGCTTGCGGGGCGACCTTTCCCAGACACGCCTCCAGTCAATCCAAAGGGTTCCATGAAGGAAGCTTTAGAACACACTTGATCTTACTAAAGTGGAAACTAAGCCTTGGAGAGAGGGAGTGACCTGGCCAGGTCACATGGTCCAAAAGTGAAAGCCGGGGTCCTAATGGCCTGACTACCCTCTGTTGGACAGTCCTCGCACCTATCTTGTACTGGGCCCGTCCTGGAGGCCAGGCATCCAATCAGCCTAATGCCTCAGCAACAGACTGTCCCTCTTACCATGGGAGTACTGGATTCCTATCTTGGCTCTACCCTTAATCTGCCTGTGACCTTGGGCCTACCCCTCGTTCCTTAGACCCTGACCCTGAACAAGTTCCCTTCCTTCTTTAGGTGCTGTTTCTTCACATGTTGAGCTACTTCAGAGACAGCCATAAAACCCCCATGCCAACACCCTGTAACACAAGGAACCCTACGCTCTCACAGCCCCTACGTCACTACTGCTAGCAGGAAGGAAAGTGCAGGATGCAAGGGGTGCTGGTGCTGAGTCCTCAACAGGGGAGGCGCCTTCAGCATCTGCCAGACCCACCCTGCCCTTTCCAGTATAAATGTACAGGCCTAATGGAGTTTTCAAAAAACATTTGTGAGCACATTTACTTTTCCACATCTTATTTCTTTTTAGTGGGGAGGAGGGGGTGCAGAGAGAAAAGAAACAAAAAACTTTCCATCTAATACCCCAAGTCATTCTGCAGCCTGAATAATTTTGGGTTTTTAATCAATAGCTGTCAGACTTGTCAAATTACTTTGGGGACCACAAAGCAGTTTTTAAACATTCATAAACCTCAGTAGAACAGCGAAGTGCCCTGAATTTTAAAAGAAGAGAATCTAAGGAACTCTCATTGACTAGGATGAGATGTGGGCAAATCGAAAGTGAGCCGCGGGCTTCTGAACAGGAACAACTCTGGGGCCCCTCCCTAGTCTCCAGAAAAAACATTTAGGGAGGTGACAGCCCCTCCCCTCCTCAGCCCAAGAAAAGAAGCAAATTCTTCTGTAGAGCCTCCGGCACCCCTGCTCCACCCCCAGCCACACCTGCAGCAGCCCGGTGCTCCCAGACTACTACCCTCGGGTGCTCTGTGCTCTCAGACTCTCGTGCCTACCGCCTGGCCCCCAACTTCTCCACTGGGACCACTCAGAGAATGTTTCAAGGCCCTGGCCCAGGCGTTCCCCCATTCAGCTAAGTCTGAAGCCGTCTCCTCACATGTGAACACACCATCTGACCGATCACACCAATGTGGGACTGATTCCCCCACTCCCACCAGGGATCATAAATATTCAAGTGGATAATGACAATGAAACAAAAACAATGAATCAGCTGAAAACCAAGTATTTTCCGTCCCCAGGAAGTGGCTTCCTTTCCGGCTTATCTAACTCCTTCCAGTTCTCCACCTCCAGGAAGCCCTCCTTGGCTCATGCCAGCCCCTCCACAGAATGTCAGAGGAGAGGCAGTATCTTCTCCCATCTCATCTCCCTCACCCAAGATCTGGGCGCCCTGCCATGTGGCCTCCAGAGATGGTCCAGGCCTTTCATGTCAGGGTGACAGTGTGATCTACGGACTGTCTTCCTCCCCCATCGCTGCGGACCAGGCCCTGCCTGAACCAAGGACCAGCCACTTGTCGCACTGCTCCAGCTCCTGGCACTGTGCTGGCTGAATGTGGTAAGGAGGTGTCCTTCCTTAAACACACACACAAACAAAACTCTGTGACCTTGGTCAAATTAATCAACCTGTGTGCCTCTGTTTTCTCATCTGTAAAATGGGGATGATACCACCTTTGACTGTAGGGGTTGACTGACCAGCAGTGAGCTCTCCACACACAGGTCCTTGATCAGCCTTGGCTGCCCCCTGCCCCGCCCAGGCTGTGCTGAGACTGCCTTTCCCTGGGCACTCTGTCCCCTCCCCCAGTGCTTCTCTGCATGCTCCTGGCTTCTCCCTGGGCCAGGGACATTTCCAAGATCCTTCCCTCGCCCTGTGTCGCCAGCAGATTCTCCCTGGCTCTCCCCATAGCTGAACTCTCAAAAAGCCTCTCTGCCAAACCACCCCTGCCCCGAGAGCAGGCCACTCAAAGACCCCCACTGAAGAAGAGAAAGACACAAATGCTGGGACTCAACTCCAGCCCCGATGCTCATCTCCAGCTTAGCTATCTTGTCCATTCCAGCCATCACGTGGGACATAGAAGCTTTGCCACCACTCAGGGCCTCCTCCTTGTTAGCAGTCTGACCTCAGAAAGACAAAGCAGCAAGATGTGAAGGGAAGGGGCGCTGAACCAGGGGGCTTGGCCCTCACGGGCCTCTCCTGCACCTCCCCTGTCAGATGGGCTGCCCTCACCTCCCACAACAGCTCGCTGAGATTCGTTTCGCTAACATCCCCCACTCCTGGGCTGAGTTAATCCAGCTGCCCCTATATAATTACTGAGCACCTCCAGGGGGCCGTGGGCTGAACCCTGGCTGCCCCTCCCTCCCAAAGCCTGAGGTCCCCATGGGGCATCAGAGCTGCTGCCTCTCAGACTGTAACTAGGAGGTGACAGCTAGCAGCGTTCAGCAGCATCGCAGCAGGAGAGGGTCACTGCCAATAAGCCACAAGCTACCAGGGCACTGGCATAGGCAGAAACAGAGAAACAATTTCAGAGAAAACCTTGCATGTGGCTGCCGAGTTCCTCCTGCCCCTAGCGACCGTGCAAAGCCATCTGTGGCCCACAAGTACACCACCACCACACCACAGCTAGCACACCTGCAAGTGCAGACCCTCACGCAGCTAACTACAGTTAAGGAAACCGAGACTTGAGGATCTCAAGGGGCTTCCCCACGGCCAGATTTCTCCCACATTTCACACTGGCTGGCTCTACGTTACGCTGGCCCTGTCATTTGCCACCTGGCCCAAGCATTTCCAACTAAGAAAGCATGAACTTAAAATCTAGCTTCCAAGGTACCAATCCAGCCAGCCCCAGCTAGCTCGTCTCACCTGGCTGTCCACCTCTGCTCAAGGTGCAGCACTCCCGGCAGCTGAGCCCGCCTTATCCTCTATGCCTAGCTCTAAAGCTGTCACCACTTCCATGAAGCCATCCCAGAAGAACTGACAACTCCCTCCAAGGTTTGTCCCTATGCACCACACTCCAATATACAAGTGAGGTCAACAAGCTGGCCCAAGGTCACAGTTCACCGGCACAAGGGTGGGGCAGGATGCCTGGCGTCTGGGTTTCAACTCCAAACTCTTCACTGTCTGTCAGTGCCTCAGGTTTTCACCAAACCACAGAAACTGTGTGATCAAATGTATCAATTTTTCAGTAACTACAGCAAACCTGGATCGCCAGAACTGCACCAAGCCCTGCCTTTGTCACCTCCTGGGTGACCCTGTCTGGAACATGGTGAGAAGGACACCTACTGGTAGGCAGTCTTACCTGCCATAGACCAGACCGACAGGCACCAAGTCTTGGCTGTAACAAGCCAAACCCTTTGATTCTCCAGAAATGAGATGCTTCCCCAGTAGAGACTCTGCCATACCAAAGTGACTGGGCTTCTGACAATTGTTTCAAGTATTTAAGCTGGAGCCAAAACACACCCCTGGCCTAGACCCAGCCTTCCCAGTCTACCACCCCCTCCCACCCCTCCACCCCACCCAGGGGACCTGGGCCCCACAATCAGGGAGTGGACACAGGGAGAAGAAGGAAAATGAAAGAAAGTCCCACTGGGGGGCTGGGGCAGAGATGACATGGCCCCCAGACCTCAGTACAGCCCCACCCAGCCAGCCTAGTGTTGGGCGACTCAGCTCAAAGGCCAAGCTTCTCAGCTCAGAAAACTTTTCAGCAGTTCCTGGCATTTCCTGGTTCTCAACGACAGAGGCCAGCGGTGCCTGCGGAAAGGAGCAACTCACAACGGGTTCTCTCACTTTAAAAACTAAAAACAGCAACAGAACTCTTCTTGGTTTCCCACTTTTTGGCAGGACTATCCTAATTAGTTACTTCCACCTTCTTGGGCTGGTGGTGGATATCCACGCAGAGGAGCGGAGACACCACTCCTGGGTAGCCTGAGTCCCTCCCAGGATCAGGCACCTGTGACAGCCACTCTCTGCCAGTGCCCACTGCCGCCTAGCTCATCCAGGTCTCCCTGGGTCTGAGGCTGCCTTATTCTTTCCCTCTTTCCCAGGCTCCTTTGTTCCAACCTCTGCTCAGGCCACTCACCGTCCCTCAGCGCGGCCACCAGGCTTGCCCGGTTTGGGCCAGGGGAAGCCAAGGGCCAGCCAGCCGGGCCCACTGCCTCCCACTGGCCCGGCCAGGCCAGCCCTGCTCTGCTCCTAGACACACCACTCCAGCCCAGTCCGCTGGGACTAATCAGCCTCAGTTAAACAAAGGCTGCCTTCCAACTCTCCATAATGTGATTTTAAAGGGCCAGCGTCCCACTTGGACCTGCCAGGGACTTAAAGATACAGATCCATAGTTCTGTACAGGAAACAGGAAGGCAAAAAGTCAAAAAACAAAATCCTAAAAGTCATGATCAGATTAGAAGCCCAAGGCTTCTAAAGATAATTTTAGACAAAATGAACAACAGTAAAACTCCAAATTTTACCTGAAGAACCCTAAAACAAAAACAATGAGGCCAAATCTCAAGAGGAAGAGTAAGAATGGTGGCCCTCTTTGAAAACTCAGTCTGCGCTAGGCACAGCACTTAGCACTTTATAGCAGTGTCTCCTTATTCCTTGCAACTCCAGGAGACAGGCGCTCCACTGCCCCACCTTCAGGATGAGGAAGCTGAGGTCCAGCAGAGGCTCCGCAGCTCCCCAGGGTTTCACAGCAGGTCACCCATACGAAGTCCACCAAGGTCCCATCCTTTTTCCCCACCTGCTCCCTCCCTAGAGGTTCAGCTTTGCCAACCCTAACCCCAGCCCCACCTGCTCCACTCCCCAGCACTTTTCCTTCAGGAGGGAAAAGAAGGGGGTGAGGAGGAGGAGTCATCTAGCACAGGGGCCCAGCCTTGGGGGTTTCAGCTTGAGCCTCAAAACCCTGTGAAGTCGGTTCTTCCCTTTCCTCCATCTTCCAGAGGAGCAGACTGGAAATCATGGCTTCTCACACAACATGGAAGGAGACAGACAAATGCTAGGGAAAGCGAGGGCAGAGAAAAGGAAGGAGCAGAAGGGAGGATAAGGGGGAAGAGGCGGGTGTGCCAGCCTGCAGGGGTGGGGGCACCGCACCCCCCGGCCCTCAGTCCCTTCCCAAACATACTGCATGGCCAGAGGCAGATGAGGGGAACTGAGGCAGGAGGGAGAAACCATCCTTCCAAGCCCAGGGTTCAGGTAAGCTGGCCAAGACCCCCCTCCATGGTCCAGAGGAACGGGGGCTCTCCTGGGTCCCCTAGGCTCCAAGGGTGGGCAGTGCCTGCTCAGCTGCTGGAACAGGAGCGGGAAGGAGACGAAGGAAGGAGAGACTTGATTGCACCTCAGTATTTGGGCTAAGAAGTCCTCCAACAATGGTGGGCCTTCCTAGCCCCTGGAGTGGCCGGCACATACTAGGTGCTGTGCGACTGTCCTCTATCAGAAAATCCAAGGCCAGGTGTAGTTCTCAGGCCAAACTCTACAGGGGCCATGTCGTTCAAGGATTTGGCGTCCTCATTCTGTTTCTACAGAGCCTAGAAGTCAATCCAGTTTGAGGCTGTGTCGCCTGATGGTTAAGAACACAAGCTCTGGAGCCAGACTGAGTTCAAATCTGGACTGTGCCATTTGCAACCTGTGTGGTCTTGGACAAGTCAAGTCATGTCTCTGGGCCTCCCTCAGTTTCCTCTACTGTAAAATGGGCACAACAATAACAAGAGTATTAATATTTCCCTCACAGGAATGCAAGGAGGATAAAGAACAAAGCCTGGCTCAGAGTGAGCACCTAACAAAAGCCAGTCTTCTGTCCCAGGATGTGGTAGGAGGCACAAAATAGGAAACTAGCTTCCTGGGCAGTGACCTGGGAGAGTCATTTTTTCTTTGGGTCGCAGTTTCTTTCTGTGAAAGGACCCTCAATGACTACCAGGCAGGATTACCCTCTGCCACCTCTCAAATGCCTGCCCTTCCTCAGAAGGAGCCAGGCCAGAAGGTGATAGAGCTTGAGAAAGGCTGGGCTCTGGGCCAAATCCTTTGAAGCCAGAAAACAGCCTGCCTCGGCCACCTACCCCAGGCTAAGTGAGGTCTGTTGGGTAGGAAGAGAAAAGCAGGGCCCCCACATGGGCCACAGGAGACGGCTTCCGCTTCACCTCTCCAGGTGGGCCCCACCCTGCCCTCAGCCTTCTTTGGGTCTCAGTCTACACCCACTCCTCAGATGTGGCCAAGGCATGCAGTCCAGGTGAGCTCGCTTTGGGGAGTTCGACATCAGCCATACACACCACCCACACACCCGCTGCGCCAACAGCCTCCCCGGGAGCCAGGTGCTCCCTCTGCCACAAGCATCCCAAGGCTTAGCCAGGTTCGAGGCCTGCTTCACCCTATCTTCCCGGCACCTAGTGCACCCAGTGTGTGTGCGGTGGGGTGCGCAGCATCAGAGAACACAGGTGGTCGGAGGCAGGAGGAATGCCCCATAGCTCTGTCCCATAGCCACAGCATGTGGCCACTATTCCTGAGAGGCAGTGGGAGGCCCAGGTGCCTTAAACCCCGCCACTGCCACCTCACCACAGTGCTCATCAGTCAGTAAGGGGAGGCCTGATTTGGGGGTTTTGCAGGCCCAGGTGACAGTTCTGATTGTGTTACTTAGCAACTGTGGAACTCTGGACAAGTACTTTCACTTTCCTGAGCCTCAGTTTCCTCACATATAAAATGAGGTAATACACCATCCCCTGCAGGTAACAGATGTAAAAACAAGGGTGAACCAGCTGAAGAAAAAGCATTTAACAAAGCAACTGAGAACCCAAAAGGCTCCAATATCTGAGTGCCATTCATTCAGCAGACACCGAGAACCCATCAGAGGTCCTTCACACCCTAGGTTGTCCCCAAGCCAAATACATTCTACACTCTCCCCAGAGCCAGCAAACCTTGGGGAGGTAAAGGTCCTGACCACCAAAATAGTCCATAAAAAATCTCAAACAGTGCTCACTTCGGCAGCACATATACAATAAAGTCTCAAACTTCTCCAGAAGCCAAACCCAGAAAGAAGCCTTCCAGAGAAATGCCACTAGTGTACAGAAGTCTTGCTCCGCTCCGGGAAAGACCCTTGGAGTAAGGATGCTCTCATTTGGAGACTGGGGCAAGGAAAGGGGCTGGCAGGGGGAGGACAGGGTCCACCCACACAGCAGGGTTTAGAAAAGTGAACACCAATCTGCTTCAGAAAATTCTGAAGCATACCCAAGGCTGGGATCTACTGGGCAAGCTAATGGTAAACCGAAGCCCCTGTACACCATAAGCCCTCCCTTTCTTGGCTTCCCAGACCAGCCCAGGCCCAGTCCTCACCACTGTCTCTGCCCACTGCTGCCACTGCCACCGCCTCCAGGGCACCAAAGGCCTTCCTGAGGCCAGGAGCCCATCACAGTTTCTGCCCTCTCCTCACCCACTCCCTGAACACAGGACACCCCACTCTGGCTTTCCTCACAGCCGCTGCTCTCGCACCACCTTTTCTCCAGGTGTTGGCGTTCCTCAGGGCTCAGGTTTTGAAGGCACTCTTCCTCAGCAAAGCACTTTCCTTTGGTGATCTCATCACTCCCGTAGCTCTAAATACCTCCAGTGCTCACGACTCCAAATTTGTCTCTCCAGCACTCCCGTCTTCTGAGCTCCAGACTCGAGTATCTAACCGTTGGCCTGACATCTCCCCTTGGACACCTCACAGAACTTCCAGGCTGAATGTCCAGACTGGAGCGTGTCTTAGTGGCAATGCCAGGAATCCTCCCTTTCCCTCGCTTTTAAAATCTAATCCATCAGCAAATCCTGCTGCCACCCCCTCAGATATCCCTGGCACTCCTTTACTCCTCCTCCCTCTTCCCCAAGCAGCCACAGTCCAGAGGGGCACCCCACACTCTGCACATCCACTTCCCCCCCACCTCCACCAGGACAGTCAGGGAACCCTTCAGGAATGCAAATCAAATTACTTAACTCCTGGTGTTAAAAGCTTTCAATTACTCCCCATAGCACTCAGATGAAATCAGCACTCAGAAGTGGGCAGGAATGGCCTACCTACCCTCTGACCTCATCCAACAATGCCCCTCCCCCAGCTTCTGCTTTCCTGCCTCAGGGCCTTTGTACTTGCTGCTCCCCAGGCTCACTCTCCCAACAGCTGGCTTCTGGCATCCTTTAGAACTTGATCATCCTTCCTGACTACTCAATCTATAACCAGTCCTGCCCTACCTCCATTACTCCCCAGTGAAACACTCTGCCTGTTTCCTTCAAAGCCCTTGCTCATTCAGCTAGCAAATATCAAGCACAAACTATATGCCAGGCACTATTTTAGTTATTGAAAATACAGGTGCTGAACAAAGCAGACAAAAGTCCCTGACTTACAGCCAGGCATAGCGGCTCATGCCTATAATCCAAGCTCTTTGAGAGGCCAAGGCAGGAGGATGGCTTAAGGTCAGGAGTTTGAGACCTGCCTGGGCAACATAGCAAGACCTCTTCTCTACAAAAAAAAATATGCAAAACTTAGCTGGGAGTGGTGGCTTGAGCCTGTAGTTCCAGCTATTTTGGAGGCTGAAGCCAGAGGATCACTTGAGCTCTGAGTTTGAGGTTGCCATGAGCTAGGACGACAGTGCTGTACTCCAGTGAGACCTTGCCTGGCCGGCGGGGCTGGGGGGGTAGGAAGGATGGAAAATCCCTGACTTATATTTCAGAAGGGGAACTTCAGCCAATCTGGAATTACTTTGTTTCTCCACTTATTTAGTCTTATCTGTCTCGCCCACCAGAAGGTAAGGTCTGTTGTATTTCTGTATCCTAAGAGACTGTCTGGCATGGGGGAAGAGCTCAGTGAGTACTTACGGAAGGAATACAAAAAAACAAAGACCAGGTGGCCAAAGAACCAAACCCAGAGAGACACAAGAAATCTAGATTCAAGCCTTCAATGGCCTCTCCCTACCCCCAGGGCCCCAGGTGATAAGGAAGGCTTCAGCAACACCCCAGCCAGGTAGTCCCAGCCCTTTAGGGGAAAGACAGACACTGGGGGAAGTTTTGTTCAAGTGCTGCAGGCCTAAGCAATCAGGGAAGGCTTTTTGAAGAGGGGGGGATCTGAACAAGGCCACCCACACTCCCCTCCTAAATCTAGGGAGGTGGAAAACAAATTTGTGTTTTAGAGCTCTGATGTTCTTTGCTCTAGCAGGAAAAAAAGAAAAATCCTTTTACTTTTTATTAGTGTCTGGATCAATAAAAGTTTTAGGAGTAAAGCTTCTCTCCTGCAATACTAACCACGAGAGAGACAGACATGGATTATTAAATCTGTCTCAGAGAGGCAGCAACTCAACTGGGGTCACAGACGCACCCAGCAGCTTCCTCTTGGGCCCTCACTGGCTCTGTGGCAAGGAGTCAAGGCCACTTCCTCACAGCCTAGGTCAGCAGCTAGGCTCCTGGACACCCCCCTCCCAGGTGCCTCACAAACGTGCCTGCCTCTGCCTCCTCTATGCCACCTGTGCCCTAGGCCTTCTCCCCAGCCCCTCACCCACTCCCAGACTTGAAACTCCTGGAGGGCAGGGTGTGGTTCCCAGGAGAAGACAGCGAAGCAACCCCAGCCCCCACCTTCACTTTTCCTCCCAAGCCCCTGAGAGGGTCCCCCAAGTCCAGCTGTGAAGGGGCCTGGCTGAGCAGGCTGTTGACTTTTGCACCCCAGGGAGCCCTGCTCCCACTGCGGCTAGGGTTCTGGGCCAGGCCTCCTAGGAGGAACAGCCGCTCACCCTCCAGCCCCAACCTACTCCCATCAGAGACCTGGCTGACACCACACCTGGCTGGAGACCCACCCACCTGGGAGGAAATTTCCTATGCCCCCTTCCTCCCTCCAGCAGAGCCTCCCACGGACCTTTGTGGCAGAAGCGCAGGCCTCTCCGCTGATCTGGGTCTGGGTACCTGAGGCCTGGGTACCTGAGGCCTGGGGACCAGATCTGGCTTCCAGGGTTGGCCGGGTCTCCACTGAACAGCCCCTCCGGCCCAGCCTAGAATCTTGCCAAGGTTGTCACCGAGGAGTCCAAGGCCACAAAGGCCCATTCCTGAGGGTTTCGTGTGCCCAGGCCAGATCCAGGGGGCCTCTCAGCCAGGGCTGGCATCTAAGAGGTACAACCACCAGGGCTTCCCCTTCCTTCAAAGCAAATGCTGAATCTGTGTCTTCCCAGTTGAAATTTCAAAAATGGCTTAAAAAACACAGCAGTGACAACATTTAGAGATCTCTGGGTCCTCCAGGAAACAAGTGGAAAATTACAGTCTTCCATATAGGTAACCACATGGCACAACCTGCAGGTCCAAGAAATCTAGAAAAACTCCAGAAAGCAAACAACTGCTTTCACCTACCAGGGCGAAGCAGAAGGGGCGAGCCTCAGCCCAAAGGTCCCTTCCAGGCTCTTCCTCTAAGCTGCCGACTCCGCCCAGGGTCATATCCCGCCCCAAGTCCCGCCTCTGGGCCTTTGCACTTGCCATTCCCTCGGTTCTGCCAAAGGTTTCTCCTCTTTCAGTACTCAGATCAAAAGTTCCCTGGCAGAAGAGCCCTCCCCTAACTATCTAAAGTGGCAACTCCCACCCCCACCCCCACCCCCACCCCCACGTAGTCGCCCTGCTTCATTTTCTTCATAGCACTGCTCTGAAGTCATCTTGTTTGTTTCTTTTACCCACCAAGAGGAGGTGAGGTCCAGGAGAACAGGGACCTGTTCACCCGGGTAAGCCTAGCACACCTTGAACCAGTGCCTGGCACAAAGTAGACACTCGATAGATGTACTGAATGAATAAATGCATTTTCTTGCTGGTCTGAGACTGTGTTAAGCTGGAGCGGGGGGTAACCAAAAGTCTTGGGGCGCACCAATGTCACCTCTCCCCAGGCCCCGCAGGCGGAGCATTCCTGACTCTTACCAGGCAACGCCACGCCCCAAACTGTCCAGAGGCCGGAAGCAGCCAGCCCGCCCAGGCCCCGCGGCCCTCCCGGCCCGCCCCTATCCACAGCGCCCCTATCCACAGCGGAGCTGAGCGGGGTCGACCCTTCCCAGGCCCAGCGGCGGTGACATTCCACCGCCAGCTGCCCCCAGCTGCAGCCACTTTCCGCTTGCTAACGCTGCTGTGCTCCCCAGCTCCCGGACAGCGTGTCCGAGAGGAAAGCACAGGCCCCGACCTCCGCCTAGGAAGCCTCCTCCCCACCTCTGCGCGAGCCTGTGACCCCAGCCACTCTCTTGCAGGCTGCACGGCTGCACAGCTGCCCGCCCCGCCACCCCCTACCCCCACCCCCACTCCCGCTGGCCACACCCCAGGTTCATCTGAAGCAAGCACTATCCCTCCCCCATATTTCCATTCAAACATTTTTATTATCTATCGATTTATATATTTATTTATTTACTCTAACCCTACCCCACAAACATTTTTAAAAGTGAACACAAACTGAGGTCCAGACAAGGCCAAGGGTTTGCCTACCAGTCACCTGGGCAGAAGGGCCCAAGCCCAGAAGAAGCAGGGCTCCGGTACTCCCCACCCTGAACTTGACAGCCTTCCCCTTGCTGGGGAGGGCACTAGACTGCCAGGCAGCAGTCCAGGGTTCAAGTTTCCACCCCAAGGTGGTTTTCTCTTCTGTAGGAAGCACCGGGCTGGCCAGCAGGGCAGAAGGAGGAGGTTCAGTGCAAGGAGGGAGGAGACACCTGGTGAGCAGCAGCAGCCCAGGTGCTCAGATGGGCCCAAAAGCCTGGGGGCAGACAGACCCCTGGGCCACCCCACCAGCTTGCCTGGAGATTCATCCTTGGATCACACTGGGCCCTCACTGAAATACAAATCCTTCTGGGAAGGGCACACCCAGCCAACCAAATATTTTTGCCTGGGGTTACTCCCTTTCCCATCCCACTAGAGAAGCCACAGCCCCAGTTTCCACTTACTGAGCCTCAACCACACACAAAGAGGCAGGGTATCATACCTCTTTCCCCTACAGCCACTACCCAGAGGGGCTAATCAAACTGCCTTCCCCAGGGTGCTGCTGCAGAGCTCCCTGATGCAATGGGCTTAAGGGCATCTGACCACGCAGCAATGTAAAAACAGGTGAACAGAAGTGCTGGGAGGGCAAGAGCCACGGCCAGGCTCCTACCCAGCTCCTTCCCTCTCTACCCTGAGGCATCACAGGCCCTAGGTCAGTCCATGGCAGTTGAAGTCTGCTCCAGTGCCAAGCACACAACTACTGAGCACCTACTAAGCAATAGGCTGTGCCAGGCCCCTACTGTATATGCAGAGACACAGGACTGTGAGGAGGTTTTCCTGTGACCCCCAATCTGGAAGGTCCCTGACTCACTCCATCCCCTGCCAGGCCCTAGGCTCCTGGCTCAGTGCCATTCTGGGCACATGGGATCCTATACCACCCCATCTGCCCACATCTGCATCTGTCCCCCAAAGCCCAGAGAGCTCCCCTGCTCCCCTACTGCCTGCAAGGCTTCAAACCAGAAGTGCACTAACAGTGGTCCTGTCCCCCCTTCCTTCTCAGAGGTTTTCCCTACAAGCTTTCATCTCAGTTCATCCAATGTCTAAAATTTCCCAGCAGGGAAGTGTGAGGATATAGGCTCAGAGAGGTCCTAGGGCCAAAGAAACCCTTTTGGCCCCAGAGCATCCAAGGCAACAGGGAAGGAGGAAGCAGAGTGCATCTTCTGAGCACCACCTCCAAGCACCTCCTCTAGAAGACAATCTCCAAGACAGGCCTTCTCCCATTGATTTCGTGATCATGGCAACAAACAGGCAAGACAGGCACTGTGACCATTTTACAGACAAAATCAAGTCCAGAGAAGCTAAGTTACTCACACAACTTGACCTGACTACATCTAGAAGTAGGTGTGCCTCACCCCACACAATTATTTACACCTATTACTTGTCCTCTCTTGTTTTCTCCCCCAATTCTATTAATAATACTCCTTCCTCCTGGAAGCCTTCCTAAATTTCCCCCAGTCAGGAAGCCATCTACTGCTGATTGGTCCACAGAGTTCCAATATCTTGTTATAACAAAACAGGGCCCTATGACAGGCCTTTTATGCTGCATGACAACTGTCAAAGGACGGGGTCACAAGCACAAGAAATAAGCCTGCATGTGGGGGTCTGAAGATGTCCATCCCAAGTTGGGTGCCCACACTCACCAGTTGTCTAAACTTGAATAAGTCACTTCCCTCTGTAACCAATAAGCCTCAGCTCAGAAGTCAGCATAACCTCTTGCATGCTCCTTTCAGATTCATCTTTAAGATACAAAAGTACTAAATACCTAGTGACCATTCTTGGCCACATGTAACCGGGGGAATTTCAGAGGCTGCCCTGGTCCAGTCACTCCTGGTTCTAGCACATTCCATGACCCTGGCCATCCACAGAACAGGCCTCCCTGCCGCCTGCACACTCCTCCCCTTTCTACCAGTGCTAACCAGCCACAAG